AAAAAAAAAAAAAAAAAAAAAAGAAGATCCTTAAGGACACGACAACCAGAAAGCAGGCACTATGAATGCATGGGTGTTGACTAGGCCCTGGAAAAAAAGGCAAGGGATGCTCAAGGCGATAAACATCTGAAGTCACACCCAGTGTGAGCCAGGTTCTGTCCTGATGGAGACATTTTTGTAGTCATCAGGCAACAGGAGAGCTGCCTGGCGTCAGTTGTACGGTCCTTTGCGGAATCAGAGTCACGCAGCCTTCAAAACACATCACTTCTTTATTCACGCTGAAACAAAACAAGGCCACTAAGTGCCCTGCTCCCTCACTCACTCGGACCTGCGGACGCGGGGACAAAACTAGTCATGTTTTCTAAGTGGCCACAGGATAGCAAAAGTGTGGCTATCAAGGGGGAGGCGGGCGCTCACCACCTGGCCCTCTCAAGTAAAAATAAAAGAAAGCACTCTGAGATCCAGGGAGGGTGCCAAACTCATTTCTTTTTCTTGAGATGTGACTAGTAAGTGGAGCAGAGAGTGACGCTGAAGTGCATTCATGCTTTCCGTGACCCATCCATCAAGCTCCTTCTCTGTGACCTTGGGCTGAGTGATGAGGCTGCAGAGCTGAACTGCCCTGCTGACGGGGAGACAACAGCCACGTGGACATGTCCTGTGTCCTGATGACTGCCTGAAGGTGCTGCTCATCACCAGATGAAGGTTTGGGAGACACGTTCATGCCATTGGACCACAGATGTCAAGTTAGGAGAGAATGTTTACGACGATGACAGAACTGGGATTGACTGCAACATCACAAAACTCAGGAACTGAGATGGGCCTAGACCCAGCGCGTGACATGGCTGTCGAGACTAAGGCCACCCGAGACTGTGTTAATTAATGGGGGCCCTTAGAGGGTGCCCTGCTCAGGCTGTATCTCAAATACTGTGTCTACTTCTGGGCCCATATTTTAGGGGTGCAGCTGACAAGTGGGTCCCCAAGGTGGTGAGGCTCTGGGGGATTTTATTGTTAGAGAATGGGTCTCACTCTGTCGCCTAGGCTGTAGTGGTCTGGTCAGTGCTCACTGCAGCCTCACACTCCTGGGCTCAAGCCATCCTCTTGCCTCAGCCTCCCCAGCAGTGGCGGCTTTTTCATAGGACAGAGGGTTGGATGAACTTTTGAGTTTAACACAGAGAAGGGAAGACTTGGAGCTGACCTTTCCAACTAACACGTTAAAGCCTGCTATTAAAAGCAGGACAGACTTGCTCTGTTTTGCCTAGAGGAAAGGTCTAGGGCCCAAGGGCAGAAGGTACGGGAGCCAGGCGTCAGTTCCATTTAAGAAAGAACGTTCCAGCAGTTAAAAGTACAAACGATTCAGTGGGAAAGGAATTCCCTTCTTGTGAACAGGGGCTGGGTGACCAGCTGTGAGGAACTCTTCAGGTTGAGTCCTACTTGAAGGGGTGTGACGCAGAGAGCCCCCCTGTGCATTCCGCTCTAGATGCGCAAATGAAGTTCACTTCAAAGCACACTTAAAAATGTGTGAATGAAATTAATTTCAAAGCACATTTATAAAAGCTGTAAGAAAATCACAGGGAGTTTGAGGGAAGAGGAGAGAATATATTTTTGGAGAATCAATTTAAAATACGGTTTTAAGTGAAAGAATTTATTTCAAAGCTCAGCACAGAACCACTCCTTTAGGAGACTGTTTAATGATAGCTGTGTCTTTGTACATTTCCATCTAGCTCCTGAGTTCCACGTGGAGGAAGTGATGGAAACTACCCAGTTCACTGGAACAAAGTTGTCGTCTTTTCTTTCTGCCATCAAGTAAGAACACCAAGCAGTGCTGGGGCTGAGTGACGATGCCCTGTGCACATCCAAGATTTGTGTACAAACGAGTCAGGCCCAGCAAGGGCAGAAAAGGCAGAACCCTCCTGAGGCTCCGCTCCCTGAGAACACGAAGCATCTAGCAGCTGCGTCTAGAAAGGGGCTTTTCGGCCGGGCACACAGGCTCACGCCTGTAATCCCGGCACTTTTGAGAGGACGAGGCAGGTGGATCGCTGAAGCTCAGGAGTTCGAGACTCACCTGGCCAACACAGGGAAACCCCATCTCTACTAAAAACACAAAAATTAGCTAGGCACGGTGGTGCATGCCTGTAATCCCGGTTACGTGGGAGGCTGAGGTACCAGAATCGCTTGAACCTGCGAGGTGGAGGTTGCAGAGAGCCGAGACCACGCCTCTGCACTGCAGCCTGGGCGACACAGTGAGATTCTGGAAAGAAAAAGAAAGAAAAAGGAAGGAAGGAAGGAAGGAAGGAAGGAGGGAGGGAGGGAGGGAGGGAGGGAAGGAAGGAAGGAGGGAGGGAAGGAAGGAAGAAGGAAGGAAGAAAAAGAAAGGAAGAAAGGAAAAGAAAGAAAAGGAAAAGAAAGGGGCTATTCACATGGTATCCACTGGGGTCCAGGGCTCCTCTGAAAGCTTGGCAAAAATTCTGTGCTTATGGCGTTTTTCTTGGGAGAAGGTCACAGATGTCAGCAGATTCTCAAAAGTGTTTATGACTAAAAGAGAAGAGTGAGATTTGCAAGAACGCGCTGCCCACGGGGTCAGGGCAGACCCGCCGCTCCTTCTTGGTGCTGTGAGGTGCCCTTCTCTCTCGGGCGTACGGCTTTCTCACTGTTGTAGGGTGGGGGGTTAGACAGAATGATTCTGGATTTCCCTTCCAACTCTAACACCATGGAGGAGAACTGAGGCAGCAAACACTCGTGCTCACAGTGACCCTCGGGAACCACGGCCTTGGTCGTTCTAACTGCAGAAGAGCATGTGGTCTCCAGGCCTTGAGGACTCAGCCTGTGACCAGCTCCCAAGGGCTGAGACATGCATCTCCCTTACATAACGGCTACGTTCAGCTCCAAACAGATGTGACTGACCACTCTGTCACTGTTATTACTGATTTTGTTACCAATTTTCCTGATTAAAACAATATCGAAGAACTGCCTTATTGACAAAGGTAACCACCTTATGCTTAAATTCACATAAGTAGCCACAGAATCTTCCAGATAAAGCAAGTAGCTAATTATGAAGTTATTTTGAAATATGGGCACTCTCCCTCCTCCCTGAAAACCCCCACCCCACCTGTGTGTATTACTTCAGTCGATAAATAAAAAGCATTTCAGTGCTCCCTACAGTGAAAGAGGGAAGAGGGAACAGGACAGAGAAATGGAACCCAGACCCAGACCCCAGTATCTCAAGAAACACCTTCCTTCTCGCGAGACCTTTACAAACACAGCTGACGCGCATCTCTCTGGAATGATTCTAGTCCTTTTAAGCAGACAAAGGAAATTGAGCCACTGAGTGTCCTTCTCCTCCTGTGGTATTAAGTACTGAAGCCTAAAGTGCTTCAAAAACACATATCAGATGAACTTGGCTCATCCCATGCAAAGCCACAAGCACCATGAACGACGTTAAGTCATACGACTAAGGCTGACTGGCGGATTCTCCTGGCCACGCCTCATGAGAAAACAATTACACCAATACTCTGAACCGTGCTTGTGTATTGGTGACGTCAAAACTTACCGCCATTAGTTTTGAAAACACAGATTTAGGAGTTTGCAGAATATTTTCAATAAGAGAACAAACAGCAATGTTTCTGCCTTTCATGTGAAACCTCTTGCTAATATTGATCAAAGGCATGATGCTTTATCATCTATCTGTTTCATGTTAAATCTGTCATCAGAGATGGTGATGGAGAAATTATCTAATTGTCATTTAAAAACACACAAAAATTGGACATGCTATACATTTATCTTTTAAAATGTAGTCTGTATTATTTTCACCAACCAAAACACACATAATATATTTTATTATAAAACATTAGGCAATGTTACTTTTGAGATATGCAATCTGAAAGGTCACATTTGTATTTATTACCAGAGGCGTTACATTAGAAATCAACCAGACAGACTCGTACGTCGTTATCGTGACTTACACAGCATGAAATGCGGGTTGAAGCAGCACCCACTTAGTGTTTCGGACACGGACCTGGTGTGGGCAAGGGGCCCTGGAAGAGGGCTTCCCCTCTCCGCACTGGGGCTCTGCGTCTCACATCTCAAAGACCAGAGCAGAGCCCTGTGTGCACTCCAGGCCCACGGCTGACACAGTGTGCACAGCCAGTGTTTCCAGACTCTCTCCTGCTCTGACAGAACTCGCTCTCCGGACTCTGCACTTGAAATTACGACCTGAACATGGGGGAGACAGTCATTTCCTTCTTGACTGAAAACCAAGTCAACAAATGAAACAAACCTAGTCTAAATTCCAGGATAATAATAAATTACCTGGTTTATAAAAATACATGTCCAAAATAGTTACTTCCTGGGTTGTGTACAATATAAATTACAAAAATAAAATAGAAAAGATGAAAAGTTGAGCACATTTTTCAGTTCTTTAACCAACACCAGCATTTTCCCATAGAGATCAGTGTGAAACCATGTGTGTGGCACCAAGACCCTGGCAAATCTAGGCTCAGGAGGGAGAGCCCTGAAGCTGGGCGAGGTATTTCTGTGGAGCCCCCTGTGGCCTGTCCTGGGCACACTCGCCTCTACCTGGTGGAAGACGGCCTTTCCAGGAAACCCTCCGCGCCGTCCGGGCTCCATCTGTGGCAAGTGGCTCGCAGAGAGCACAGCGGAGCGAGCGAGCAGAAGGGCACCTGCGGGCGCCTCGTCCCTGTCCACGTCTCCCGAGGAGGAAGCATCACACAGTGCGGGGCAAGTCGTGCATTTTCAACCTCTCCCTTTTGTTTTTCCTTTTAAAGATAGATTTAGTGAAGTCTTTTAAAAGAATATGTATTACAGAGAAGATAGATAGACAGCCATACAATAGGTGTTTCTGCCTCAATCCAAGTTATTATTACCATTTTGTATTTGAAAGTGTCTAAATGACAATATAAAAGAACTATTTCTTATTTCAATATTAGTTTTGCTAATCAAGGGTTCCAGTTTCCAGTGATTCGACCAACCGACAGGACATAACGGGTGCAGAGAGAGCCATGCACTTTAGGTCATATCTAGAACCCACTTTCTCATCACAGTTCCTCCTTAGAACACAGTCTAGAGAATGTTGACCGAAAAGCTTCCAAAATAATTGAACACAAGATATGAATCAGCAACAAAACAAGCTCAAGGGAAAAACACGGGCACAGGCAGCAAAATGTGATCGTCATAGCTCCGTTTCTGCAGTGACACTTAACACACTCGGTATCTGAATGAGTTCTGAATCATTTACTTATTGGAAAGTCTCAAAGTATCAATTTCAGGTGAGCAGTTTTAAATCAGAAAATATTCAATGGTTAATCATTACTCTTTAAGTATTTCCTTCATATCCTCTGAAGAGTTTCCCAGAACATTCACGGGTTTCCCTTGTGAAAAGGAATGCCCCCAAACAATGGAAAGCAATAGCAAAAAACAGGCATCTGAATCAGCCTGGCCTCTGAAAACAGACCAAAGAGGAATTTATCCGCTTTCTTCCAGTGAAGAAAGAAAATCAAGAACATGGTATTGGCAGAGGGAAAGTGAATGAGGGAAGGTAAGTAAAGGACCCAGGTCAGTCTCTGGCAAAGGAAGCACTTAGGAAATGACTGCAGTGGTCTCTCGGGACCATTCTGTAAGATTCTACTCCAGCGTTAGGCCATGGATGCAGGAATCTATCTGCCATCATCTTATTAAGAGGGAGTGTTACACGCCTAACAAAGAAGGTGAAGTTCTAGGGAGAATTTTAAATTCATAGTAAGTCTAGAAGACTAAGAAGAAAGAGATAAGGTAGCTAGGATTTCAAGCAGCACTAAGCAAAACTTAAAATTTTATCGTGCAGTAAAGCTGAATGTACAATCATCCCAGACAAGACAGTTTAAAGAAAACAAGATGTCCACATGAGTGTCTTGGTTTTAGCCGTGATAATTCTCAGCCCCAAACATCACAAATTTAAGAAAAGCTATATATTTTTATTTATTAAATAGATTTAATTAATATGTCTTCTGAAATACAAAAGATAGAATAAATCACAGCACAAAAGGGAATAAGATATGATAACATCATGACGGCCAATTAATACACATAAATCAACCTTTTCTGGACAGACACCAAATTACTTAAGAGGATTAAGAGATAACTTCAGAAGCAGCACTACTTGGAAGATTATTTGGCATTTAAATACTGATTTCCAACGTGCTAGGTGGGCAAGTCCAAGCAAGCATCTGTGGTCACATGCACACACCTCTCAACAGTTACGGATGATGAGAAACTGTCACTATTACAGCTTGAAACAACCTCACCTACTCTAACTGCTCACCTGAAATGATCTTGAACAAAATCTCTACAAGTGTGGCTTGCACTTTTTTTCTTCAGACATATTCTGCCTCATTTTATCATCTAAGCAGGCAATCCTATTAGATCTGAGTAGGGGCAAGGCATTGTGTTTCGTACATGCAGAACATGGAGTTTTCTATTTGGTTCCATCAACTCCCAAGCATTTCAGGCCCATGGAGGTGAGAGTTCCTTCAATGATGACAGGTTTGCTATTTCTAACTTATCATCGACAACCTTCAAGGGGTCCCGTCGAGGCATCAAGACTGCTGTCTGTGTCTGAGGCCAGTGTCTGCTCAGTGGACATGGATGAAATGTCATTGATAGATGAAGACTGAGAAGGAGTGGCGTTGCTACTTACTGCTGCATCTGTGCTAAGAAAACCAAATATAATAAAATCTGAGGCACGACATTGCTGCAAATCCAGGCAACGAGACTTCAGGCCATTTCTCGGCTCTGTCTTTTTGCAGCTTCCCAATCCTAACTATGAGCATAAACAAGAAGTTAGTCAGCTGGACTTTCTGAACTTTTCCTTGAGTCTGTCTTTGGGCCCAGAGTCCCATATTCCTATGTCTTTCCTTGCAAGATTCTTCTTTTCTTCTCAGTGGCTAAACATATATGTGGCCATGTATAATCATGTTAGCTACTTAAAAAATAACCGCTGCTTTCAAGCAGACATCAAAAGGAAACAGCTATATTTATCTGAAAATGCAGTATCACAAAAGCTTAAGCCTGAATCGAATTCAAGTGTCACCAGACACTTGAATTATAACAATTTATAACATAAACACTAAATCTACAGAAAAGAAAGCATCAACATTCAAATAAATCTTTTGCAATAAAGACTATATACTAGAAAAAGGAAAAAAATTAGTGGCCTCGTATTTTTTATTGTTTTGTATCTCCAGAAAACTGACATTTTAATCTTTTAAAGCAAATGAAACTATTCTACTTCCTACTATCTATATTTTAGTCTGGTGTGAATAAAAATACAACATGCAGACTCTCTGAGATCGACGTCTGCAGTCATAAATTTGTGCTTAGTTAACAAGCACTTAAGTTCTTGTTGAAGTTATATAATCTCTAGATGCTTGACACATACGTCATGTTGAATATAAAATTCAAGAATAAAAAGTAAGCTGTGCTCTCTGCACATCCCCACGCGTGTGTGCTTTCCAGTGGGAGTGGGAGAGAGACAATAAATATAACTTGAGCGTTTCATTTAGTAAACGGGAAGAATCCTGCAGACGTAAGTGAATACCACTAATATCAGAGTCTCTCATAATCGTATAACCACCCGGTCAGCAGGCTTCCACCACTATCAAGATCGGCAGATGAAGTAGAAAAACGGGAGAATGATATGAACAATTTTCTCAAGAGAAAACCAAATTCTATTTTACTTAGATTGGCATTTTGGGTGGGACCAGTACAAAGGGTTATCAATGTTGAAAAGGCTTTAAATTCCATTTCATCTGTAAATGGACGTGACAGCAATCATTGCAAAGATGAAAGAGAAATGTTTATAAGGAAGTTCAGTGCCTGGCACATCAGTAAAATGCCATCCACCACCCCCTTCACTATGACAAGCCAAAAAGGGTGGCTATTCATACAGTGGTTTTTAAATCTGATGCTAGCCAGGCTGGCGTTTCACATGCTGCTGCCATTTATAAAAGATGAATAGGGAAAGAGGCCAGGTGCAGTGGCTCACGCCTGTAATCCCACCACTTTGGGAGGCTGAAGCGGGCGGATCACGAGGTCAGGAGATCAAGACCAGCTTGGCCAATACAGTGAAACCCCATTTCTACTAAAAATACAAAAATTAGCCGGGCGTGGTGGCACGTGCCTGTAATCCCAGCTACTTGGGAGGCTGAGGCAGGAGAATCACTTGAACCCGGGAGGCGGAGGTTGCAGTGAGCAGAGATCATTCCACTGTACTCCAGCCTGGGTGACAGAGTGAGACTGTCTCAAAAAAGAAAAGCTGAATAAGGTAAGAAAAATATCATACAATCAATTAAAACAATCACTAACCTGAAGGCTGATCTTTTACAACACCATTCTTGCTTCTTTCTTCCCAATCCATGACTTCTTTGTAAATTAGCTCTTTAATAAAAATACAAGTTAAAATGCTTAATCAGTTTCTAAACAGTTTCATTGTATCTCTAAACTCTGCTTCCAAATCAACTGGAACCACTCCAAAGGCACTGCGATGTGTTATTTTTAATTGTAAGATAAGAGTCAATTCAGTAATATAGTCTACGTGGACCAAAATATTCATGTTTTGATACATTGTATCTTTTCTTTTCTTTCTTTCTGTCTTTGGGTTTTTTTTTTTTTTTTTTTTGAGACAGTTTCATGCTGTCATCCAGGCTGGAGTGCAGTGGCACAGTCTTGGCTCACTGCAACCTCTACCTCCTGGATGCCTCAGCCATCCAAGTGGCTGGGATTACAGGTGTTCACCACCATGCCTGGCTAATTTTTATAGTTTTTGTAGAGATGGGGTTTCGCTACGTTGGCCAGGCTTGTCTTAAATTCCTGGCCTCAAGCCGTCTGCCCGCCTTGGCCTCCCACAGTGCTGGGATCACGGGTGTGAGCCACTGCGCCTGGACTACATCCCATCTTTTCCATGCAGCTAGTAAGGGAGCAAAACGTGGGGTGGTTCTGGATCCACAAGGGGCTGTATGAAGTGGACTGGCTCCCATAGAACACTGTAAGGGATTGGATACTCTCACACCCATTTCAATATGTTTCTCTATGTAGTTACTTGGGGTTTTCCAAAGGTAACCGGCATCCACATGTGGGCTAGGAACCCCCGACACTGGCCAGAAATGAATCCACATGCCTAAGTCTTTTCCTTGCTTCAACTTCAGTTTTCTTCAACTTTCATTTGTAAGAAAAACTAATTACCTACTAAGTAAGTGATTAGGGATTCCTAAAATTTCAGTATTCATAAACCAGCATCAGCGCGTTGCAACCATTTACGGAGGCCAGTGAGTGTGCTGTGAGCATGCACTGCTGAGCACAGGCTCACACAGGCAACCAGCACTCCAGGAGGGCCCTGGGGCAGGACCAACCCTCAGTGCTGACTCACTCTGACTGTGGTTCTCAGTTACTACTGATGCCGCTTCTTAACGAAGAATTGTCAGGCCGACCTCTTCATTATAGGTGCAGTTTGTTGTGGGTGGTCTGGTTAATCTTACAGTGGTAATAATACCTATTTGCATATTTTCAATCTGCAGTTTCCCCCAAACTAGATTTTAAAACATATGTACAACTACACGGCTTAAAAAAAGCAGGCAGAAGTTCACAGGACCCCAGCCCTGGCTCCCCATTTCTGCACACACTGGGAATTCTATAGGTAACATGCAGCCTGTGAACTGGTGTCATTGACAATTTGCAACATGTTATCAATGTAAGTGTGATACAATTACTAAGCTCAGTTTACAAACCCATATGTGAAAAGCCATGAAAAAAATACTATTTTTCCCTCTTGAAGCAAATGATAAGAAATTGATACATGTTCCTCTCTAACTCTGTTCTCTTCAAGTCCTTTTTCTACTGGAAACTGGGGAGAAAGAGGCTAAGTGGGTCGCAGCGTTTCTTGGCCCTTCCTGAAGGGAAATGTCACAAAATGAAAAGCCTCTGCTTTACAGGACTGGAAGAAATGTCCTAAGGAAGGATCAAAATAAGCTCCATCTTTACCTTTCCATTCTTCAATTGCATGTTCTCTTTCTTCCAACTGGGCATCATAAATCTGAGGTGGTGGCTAAAAATTAAATCATATGTAAAGTCAATAGTAATGCCTCAAAAAAAATGAGGCACTAAAAAAGGTAAAATCGCTTGGAAGACTTCTAGTCTATTTATGATATGGATTTAGTTTAATTCAACACATGGTTTAATAAAGATTTGTCATGCGATATTGGATCAGCTTTGGGATCAAAATAATTATGAAAAAGTTAACCAAAAAAGAGTTACTATGTTCCTCTTAATAATCACCTGACCTCAAAACACAGACATCTGCCCATCACAGGCTGTTTCCCGAGACCCATCATGGACAAGGCATTGTGCAGGCAGCTATGGAAGGTACTGCTGTTTCTTAGAACAGATTTTACATGTTCTTCATGTGAGAACTCCCAAACCCAAAGTCCAACTCATAAATGGACTGTTACAAAAGTCTGCTTATAAATTGGATTCTTTTTATATAAAACAACGTTTAAACTGATGGCAAAACCACAGGCCATGCCATAAACATGCGTGTCACTCATGGCACGAAGGAAGCCCGCCACCACGCAGTGATCTCCCTCACAGCTAAAGCTCACTCACACCAGCGCTGACACAGAAACACGCACGTGAGCACCGAACTCAGAGTGGAGCTCCTCCAGCGGGGGAGCCAGGAGGCACAAGGCCTTCAGGGAAGGATACACAGACGTGTGATTTTTCAGCAAGCTGCTCAGCCTCTCTGGTTGAGTGGCCTAAACAAGAGGATGTAACCAAAGCCAATGGCACAGAACAGATGCTTAATAAACTATGAGCTCACAGCAGCCTTTGCAAAATGGAGACTGGTATCACCAAAGCGTAAGTTCATTCCTGAGGTCCTCCGAGCAAAGCGGCCCAGGCCTCAGACAGCACTTGGCCTTTTTGTAACTGGGAGCCCCAGATGGAGAACTTGCTACCCATATGTAGCCGCTCTGGACGAGCAGACAAGATCCAAGGAAATACAAGCCCGGCCTCCACATACAAGTCTTTTCAAAACAGATACTCACTGCCTCTGCTTCGGCTGGGTCATACCAGACAGTGATGTACGGGTGACGCAGAGCTTCGTCTACAGAGATCCGCTTGTCAGGATCAATCACTAGCATTTTCGATAACAGATCTCTGGCTTGACTGGCTAGGGTGACAACAAAGATTAGATTAATACACTAATGCTGTTAATATGAAACAAAGAGAATCATACAATAAAGAACTAAATACGATAGCACAGACAGAACAAAGATGTATTAATTTTGAGAAACGTTTGATAGGTTCAAGATGAATATAACACAAACTTTTTTTTTTTTTTGAGACAGAGTCTCGCTCTGTCACCCAGGCTGGAGTGTCACTGCAAGCTCCGCCTCCCGGGTTCACACCATTCTCCTGCCTCAGCCTCCTGAGTAGCTGGGACTACAGGCGCCCGCCACCCCGCCCGGCTAATTTTTTGTATTTTTTTAGTAGAGATGGGGTTTCACTATGTTAGCCAGGATGGTCTCGATCTCTTGACCTCATGATCTGCCTGCCTCGGCCTCCCAAAGTGCTGGGATTACAGGCATGAGCCACCGCGCCTGGCCATAACCCAAACATTTTTAAGAAAAAGTCAGATGGCCACTTTCATGACAAACCAGGTTTCCAAATGTGGTTCTACGCCTCTGGATCTGCGAGGGGAAGAGAAACCTGGGCCCCCAGGGTGGTGGGGAAGAGCACCAGGCAGCCTCAGACCAATGTCTGGGCAGGACCCAAGGCTGGGAAACCACAGCAAGGAAGGTGGCAATTGCCGAGCTGCGGGTGGCACTGCCCAGGGTGTGGGCATGAGGCATGGGGGAGTATTTTTCTCTAAGTCACATCAAAATGAAATTAGAACAGACTTTTTAAACCATGCAACAATCTCACATTCCCACAGGATGAAACACTCACAGATGCTTCTGGCTGGCCTAGCTGTATACAGTGCTGGCAACTTACAGTTTTTTTTTTTTTTTTTAAATCTACAGATTGGTATTTAGAAAAAAAAAAACAAAAACAAGTTCAATAACTTAGTTAAATATAAGGATCACCTAGGTTTTGGCAATTGAAGTTCACAACCTGAGTAAGCACAGGAATGACTGAGGGTTTTCTGATTAAGGCACAGTTTACCTTAATTTTTTTTTTTTGAGACGGAGTCTCGCTCTGTCGCCCAGGCTGGAGTGCAGTGGCGCAATCTCGGCTCACTGCAAGCTCCGCCTCCCGGGTTCAGGCCATTCTCCTGCCTCAGTCTCCTGAGTAGCTGGGATTACAGGTGCCGCCACCACGCCCGGCTAATTTTTTGTCTTTTTAGTAGAGACGGGGTTTCATCGTGTTCGCCAGGATGGTCTTGATCTCCTGACCTCGTGATCCGCCCACCTCGGCCTCCCAAAGTGCTGGGATTACAGGCGTGAGCCACGGCGCCTGGCCCAGTTTACCTTAATCTTAATGTGGACAGAATCAAATCTCTTCTTTCTCCTTAAGCAATCACACTGTAGTAAAGGGTGCAGGAGAAGGTGGGGAGGACCTTTTCTATCGAGTGACTGTCACATGGCTCCGACTCTAGAATCTGCATTCAAGGGTTCTTTTCACCTGAAAACTTTGTGAATTTCAGTTGCTGTAACTGTAACAAGATTCTTTCAGACTGATTTGATGATTTTTATTTTGGCCAAAGGCTTCAATTAAGCCGTCTTATGGAGGATAAAGCTTCTAGACCTTTAAGCTTTCTCTCCTCAGTGCCTTCATACCTCAGACTTCTGGCCTAAAATGACTTTCTCTCCCAAAACTCACAGGTTTTTAGAATACAAACATGAAAGACTGAAAGCACCACCTGAATTACAAAACACAAGTCTAAGAAAAAAAGGGTATCTTACTTTTTATTTTGTCTCGCTCAGACTCTGATGGAAATATCCAGTCTGGAAAGAGTTCTTCGAATTTGATTCCAGGATACTTTGGTCTGTTTTCTACATAATTCCTCACAGTCGGCTGCAGTTTCTTCATGAACTCTGCTGATGGTGTTCCAAGCTGCTCAATAACTTTATTCCACTGATCAATATCTAAGGAGTCTCTTGAGGAAAATACAACTGGAGTGCCTCGTATTCACAGCACATGCAGCAGTGTTTGACTCATCTTTACACCTATCGGCTAGGCCACCCCACCGGATCAGCAGCAGAATTTCCAAATAATATTCAAATAAGGTTTGGGTTTCCAAGTTACACTATTTTTAAAAACTCTTCCACTCTGCATCTTCATAAACTATGACACAGCTTATTAAATCAACACAATGAAGTCTACACACCTTCCCACTCTAGTTCAAAATAAAGTTGATCTTGTAACTAAGAATACCTATGGCAAAAATGATTAAACATGAAACTAGATAAACATTACATCAGCAAATTGAAATCAGTTTTCATACTAATGCTTAGATTCATTCACAGCTCTCTGAAGAACAGAGGATCTCGAGGGACCTGTGAGAGACCTGTCTGACCTCCTCAGTTTACAGCCGGGGAACCAACCAACTGGGCTTAGACTGAGCCCACTGACAGCTTTCAAACGATACTCTGCTTTACTTGGAATTGACTCTTCCTAACCATCACTGCAATACCGAGGTAATGCATTTTATTTCCTTTCAAAGTGCATGACCTGGGTTTCAGACTCAACGCTGCATTCAACACTCACAGTGTGTCAGGAAAGTCAAGCTTCCTTAGGGGCCCATTTCCTTCTTTGCTCAATGCAGACATTACCAGCTTTGCCTATTCCACAGGGTGCTTGTTAGGCTTGGGATAATTAGGATTACATGTGGGAAAGTGATACTGGAACCGTACTCAACTATACAAGAGAATGCAAGCGAGAAAAAAACAGCATCAACAGCAGCTTCAAAAAGTGCTCCCTGAGGCATGTCTTAGAAAAATGAACTTACATGACCATGAAATAACCTAGGGAACTGGTACATGAACTCAGTTCTTCCAAAATGTTACACTTCCAAAGACCTGCTCAGGAAATGGGTTTCTGGCCTTCAATTCACTAGCAAATTCTCCTTCTTACTCCTGTTTCATACATGTTGTCAAATCAGAATTATGTCCACATTTTATTTACTTATTTAGCCAAAATGTGAAAACTGTCTCACACCTTTTCCTTCTGCCATATATATATATATATACACACACACATACACACACACACACACACACACACACACATATATATTTTTTTTTTTTTGAGACGGAGTCTCGCGCTGTGTCACCCAGACTGGAGTGCAGTGGCGCGATCTCGGCTCACTGCAAGCTCCGCCTCCCAGGTTCACGCCATTCTCCTGCCTCAGCCTCCGAGTAGCTGGGACTACAGGCGCCCGCCACCACGCCCGGCTAGTTTTTTGTATTTTTAGTAGAGACGGGGTTTCACCATGTTAGCCAGGATGGTCTCGATCTCCTGACCTCGTGATCCACCCGCCTCGGCCTCCCAAAGTGCTGGGATTACAGGCTTGAGCCACCGCGCCCGGCACACACACATATATATATAGTCTCGTTCTGTCGCCCAGGCTGGAGTGCAGTAGCACGATCTCGGCTCACTGCAACCTCCACCTCCCAGGCTCCAGTGATTCTCCTGCCTCAGCCTCCCAAGTAGCTGGGACTACAGGCACCTGCCATCACAACCGGCTAATTTTTGTATTTTTAGCAGAGATGGGGTTTTGCCATGTTGGCCAGGCTGGTCTTGAACTCCTGGCCTCAAGTGATCTGCCTGCCTCGGCCTCCCAAAGTGCTGGGATTATATAGGTGTTAGCCACCGCGCCTGGCCCGCCTTCTACTTTTGATACCTCTTCTGCATGCTCACTCCCACAGACTCCCCAGGATGCACCCACCCAGCATCTGTGTGCCATCTGCCACACAGCAACCAACTGGGCTCCCGGCTACACCTAGCCTGCCCAGCTCTAGACTAACCCTCGTGCTTACCCAAGGAAGAGCTCCCTCAACTCTTCTTCTCCAACATCAACGTTTTACACTCTACCAGTACATTCCATCACGTTGGTAACTGACAGTGTTTTCTCCTGTGTTAACATAGTAGCTGCCTGCTTTTGGCCCCCACTACCTATTGCTCTATCTTAATCCTATTTGCAGCAAAACTTCCATAAAGAGCTGTCGGTCGGGCGTGGTGGGTCACACCTGTAATCCCAGCACTTGGGGAAGCCAAGGCAGGTGGATCACAAGGTCAGGAGTTCAAGACCAGCCGGGCCAAGATGGTGAAACCCCAGCCCTACTAAAAATACAAAAATTGGCTGGGCGTAGTGGCGGGCACCTGTAATCCCAGCTACTCGGGAGGCTGAGGCAGAGAATTGCTTGAACCCGGGTGGTGGAGGCTGCAGTGAGCCGAGATCACACCACTGCCCTCCAGCTTGGACAACGGAGTGAGACTCTGTCTCAAAAAAAAAAAAAAAAGAGCTGCCTATACTTGTGTCTCTAATTCCCAGCCTCTCATTTTCTCTCAAACATACTCCCATCAGGCTTTCTTCCCTCCACTCCATAAATGCTGTGCCCATCATGGCTGCCAGCAGCCATCACGAGGCCCAGTGGCCAGTCCTCTGTCCTCATCTCATGTGAATGACCCTCCCTCTGTCACCGCGCTGTAGGAGGAGGGGTCGCTGGAGTGCCTTCTCCATTTCCTTCCCTATTCCCTTTGTCCCTCCACCTCAAGGGGGCTAAGTCCTGGGTCCTGGTCTCTTCCTCCCCTGCAAGCGCTTGCTAGCAGTCCTAGGCTTCAAGGCTACCAACAGATGGGTGACACCCACTTTGATCTCTCTATCCCAGACCTTGCCCCTGAATTCCACTGTCTAACAGACATCTCCAAACCCTAGCAAGGCTCCTTGAAGGGTCCAACTTCAAAGCAGAGTACAAGCCCATCTCCCCGGCCGCACCCTCCCAGCCTGCTGGGGGCCTCCGCCTCTCCTCTGGATGATGGCAGCCTCTGCTCTGGTCTCCTGCTCTGCCCTGCCCTTGACGATCCAGCCTCAATTTAGCAGCTGGGAGGAGCCTCTTTGCATCTAAGTCAGACTAGGCACCCAGAAATGGGCAGGTGAGAGAAATATCTGCTGGATTAATGATAAAGGACTAGAAATTAAACCAGTTGTGGGAGAAGCCCCACAGATTCCCCGAGAGGCCTCCACCCCAGCATCCCACAGATGGGACAGGGGACAGATGGGAGGGCTGGGGGAAGGGGAACAGTAATTCCAGCAAGCTCAGTGGACCCTGTTGTCTAATTCTCGTGAAGCTGCACGCAGACTGCAGGTCTCCTATTTTACAGAAGGGGAAACCAAGGCTCAGAGAGGTCCTAAATTTCTCAAGAATGCTTGGCTGCCGAGGGGAGGAGTCTGAGCTGGGGCCCGAGGTAGCCTGGCGAAAGCTTTCTCTTTCTCATAGGCCACCACAGGGACAGGAGTTCCTTTTCTACCCCAGGTCACACATTAAAGCAAATCTCTGAGACCCTCAGTCTGATTTCTGCAACTTTTTTCTATATCCCAAATTTCAATCTAATACTTGAAAGAGCTGGCAAAATTTTCTTTAGAAAAATGATGTTAAACTGTGTGTGACTTTTGGGAATCACAAGGTAACCTTACAGATAACACCATTAATTACTGACATTAATATTAATATGTAAAGCAGGAATTTTAAGTTACTTACTAAAATGCACCAAAAAGTACTCACATTTTTCATTTTTGTACTTTTTGAAGAAAACATTTCTTAATAAAACAAGGAATGGCACAAAATGAATAAGAATTGAGACAAACTGAACATTAAGTATGTATTTCTAAATTATTAGTCTCTTAATTCCTCAACTTTCCCTTTTTAATTAAGTTCACTTGCAAAATAAAGACTTCCTTATTTATAGGTTGAAACAAGTGAATCTGAGGTAAGGCTATAGAAACTGCTAGAAAATTTACTAGAACAAATAAAATATTTAACTTGACATATAATCTATGATACAGAAAATGTAAAGAAAGGTAAATAAAATGAGAGGAATAAAAATATTTTCATTTCAAGTTTGCATTGTGAAGAATTTATGTTATAAGGAGACCACTCTGATGAACTTATTAAAATCTGAAATTATCTTCCTAAGATACACACAAAACACTGACCACAGAGCTCGCTTTCCTTAAAAGCAGCCATCAATCTGCCCAAGGATGGAGACCAATTTCAACTTTCGTAACAAAAACAAAGTCAAAGACTAATGAAAAACTAAGTGGTTAAAACACAAATGAAAAAGGGAAGATGTGAAGAACCATGTTAGGGTAAAAAATACTAAGGATGGAAGAATGGCAAATGAGGAAAGAAGGCTATCGTAACAATTAGTTATTCTCCTTTCTGCTGTATATCTAACACGACTTGCTGACTACAGTATGAGTTTATCTCTTTCATTTTACATGTATTTTGACTTCCCCAGTGTGTCACAAAATAACCCACCAGATTTTTTTTAAATTCTACAAAATGTCAGCACAGTAACAAACAAGGAAGTTTAACATATTGGTCCTCACAAAATTTTCATTTTAATCTCTTTCACTTAGGTCTTTTATAATGTGCTTCAGTTCTTACTTTGGGGGAAAATATTTCAATGCATACCAGTAACTAACAAAATAGTACTTAATTAAAGCACACAAGTACATGAGTCTATTAAATTTAGATAGCATCTTTCCTAGTTAAATTAATGGGATAAACTAAATAATACAGTATTTTCATTTAAATATCAGAATATACTTATCAAAGAGTAAATAATTTCTTCTATATGTCCAGCTATTTTTGGTAAAATTAAGCTAATATAATTGATTTAACTTAACTCTAACTCTCAAAATCATCACAGGTAGTCAAGTTAAAAATAAAGAATAAAATTGAACCACTTGGTTTGTGACGCTAATTAACAAATATAGTCAAGCCCCCCTTAGAACACAGTCTGGCGTGGTTACGACATTGTCCTCGTGAGCGCCCGTGTAAGCAGGTGGTCATGCTGCCTGAGGCATTATGGAAAGCATGGCGGGGCCAAGGTCGCGGGGAAGGATACGGTCAGTGCCTTGGAATATCACACAACCTTTCACCAGCTCTCCCATGATGCAACCCACTGACCAGATATCAACTGAAAATAAAATGAAATGATAAAATTATGAAGTGTCATGAACAAAACAAAGGTGAGGAAAAGGAATTCTAACAGTGCACTAAACACACAAATATGGAAAAATAAATTGCTAGCTAAGGGTGAAATTTTACACAATATGAATGATTGCTGACCTCTAGTTTAGCCTTCAGTTTGTAGCAATCTGGGGTTTTAGTGCCAAAGAGTCCAATACTTTATAGCTTAAAACAAACAAACAAACAAAAAACCAGAAACAAGAAGTGCCTGTGAACACAAAGCTTTTCAGGGTCACATGCCCACCCCCAGCCTCCATGGCCAAGTGCCAGGTCCCCCGTGAAGGATACAGTCTCTTCCTGGGAACAGGACTTTATGGAGGACCATTTCTGCCATGATGCACCCGACAGACCAGATGTCCACTACCAAACACCAGGGGATTAAAAACCAGCTAGAGTCCCACATCCCTTTTCTCCAAACCCCCTCCCAGAGACAAACCCAGTAAACGTCACTAGCTTGCCAGCGAGGGCCTTTGTGCATTGTTGACACCACACCTCCTGAGCGATCACTTTCTAGACTGCCCGTCAGAAAGGCAGCAGCACTCCGTGGGGGAACTGACTGTTGGCGCAGGTTGGCCGGCTTGTAGGACTGCAGGTGAGGCCCTGCCAGAGGAGCCCAGACTTCCACAGTGCCCACCCTCATCTGTGGGGCCCAGGCCCCAGACAGACAGCAGAGCCCTCTAAATGCCCTGCTGGTGGGCAGAGGGGACAAGTGAACAGGGGATCAAGTTTTCTCTCCTCCACAGGAAGCACATAGAGCTGTGCCTCTCAGGGCGAGAACACAAGCTACAATGCAGCAAGATGAACCTGCAGCAAAACTCATTTCAGATGACCTGGGCAAACTTTCAGTCTTTTTAAAAACAAGTAAGCGAGATTTCGTTATTTTCAACAAATTTGCTGAAAGCCAAGTTTCAAAGAGCTCTGATATTGCTAGAATAAGCTAAGTTTTGATGTAAAAAACACCAATTTTACATGAGAACATGTATTATTCCATTTATATCAAATTCAAAACACCAATATGCAGACCAACAAATAAAGCTGATCCAGGGCACTGGCGATCAGGAGACTGGCCAGCCCCGTGTGCTGCGAGGGGGAGGGGCCAAGGGGAGGCCAGAGCTGTGGGTGCTGTGGGTGTGCTCACGTCAGCTGAGCTGCACACTCAGGATCTGCACACTTGGCTGCAGGTAGGTTAAACTGATTAAAAAGTTCAAAAATACTAATTTTAAAAGTGAATGTTTAAGAGAGAATGATTTTAACCAATGGAAAAACACAATTAATTATTTCTTATCTCTGGATCATGCTATATTCTATGCGTAACAGTCCCCACAGTATACATCATATAGTTCAAAGGAAAGAGAGAAAACTCGAGACCACCACTACAGCAGTTTCTAAACATCCCAGCCTCCTCCAGCCCTGGCTATACTCACCGTTCTCTTTGTAGCCCATACCCAGGATGACTTCGGGTGCCCGGTAGTACCGGGTCACCACGTAAGGGGTCATCATGAAGTTGGTGCAGGCCGTCCGGGCCAGGCCAAAGTCAAGGATCTTCAGGGTGCAGTCTGATTTCACAACGATGTTGCTAGGCTTCAAATCCTAGGAAAGCAACGGGTTAAATTAGTCGAATGAACGAAGCACACTAAATAAACGACTTCGCATCCATGAGGGCTGTGAAGCCAGTGTGAGAGTGCAGGGAGTGAACTGAACTCTGAGATTTGGAAACAATCTTGGAAAATCTTACTCTCAAATTGAAACTAAAATAAATCAGCCTAAAGCGGTCAGATGGTGCCCCTCGCCCTCAGTGGAAACCTTCATGGCCCTCCTTTGCCCGTTCTGTGGTCTCGCAGGCCCTCAGGCTGTCCTATCTACCCTCCATCCATGCATCTGCATGTCCAGCACACGCGCCCCCTCCCGCCCTCCACACCTGGACTTGAGCTCCCCAACACTCTGACTCTCTTCTGCTAAGGTCCTCACGCTCACTATCAGTCCAGGGCAGTGCTGTTCCATAGACAATGTCACAGAATGCGAACGATGTGTATAATGTACATTTTCTAGTAGCCATGTTCAACAGCATGAACAGAAATAGGTGAAACCCTAATACAGTGTATTTTATTTAACCCAATATATCCATAATATTATCATTTCAAAATGTAATCAACATAAGAAACATACTGAGCTATTTTACATTCTCTTTTTGGTAGTGAGCCTCTGAAGTCCAGTATGTATTTCACAAATGTGGCATGGCCACATCCTGGGTGCTCCATAGCCTCTTGTGGGTAGTGTCTGCCATACTGGACGGCACAGGTCCAGAATCCTCCCAACCTGGGGTCTTCCCACGGCTCTTTCTCTCCTTGGAAGAGCCATTCCATGACCATCCACCCCCAGTCTTCTCGCCTCCGCCACAAGGACCCGCCAGCACCGGTGCCGCCATCTCCATCTGTACGTGGCACAAAAACTCACCTGCTCACGTTCCAGTTGCCACCTCTCTTCCCCTCCCCAGGGCTGACTCTGTGTGAGCAGGGCACTGGCTGTGCTCTCAGCACTCAGAGGCAGGCCTGGCGCAAGCAGACACTTGGGAAGTGCCTGCTGAATGAAGACGTGCATCACATTCCACCCGACTTGCAAAGCCTTAACACAACTTCTGCAACCGTTTCCCTCATAACTAAGGGACTTTCTTCCTGCTGATCCTCCACCCCAGCCCCTTCCTCAGGCCTGAGGAATTTGACTTTTGCCTGGGGACTTCAGCCTGCAAACTCAATCTAGAAACTGTGACTTGTAAACAACCCATATCCATTCTTTTCACAAGAGCAGTGTACCTGCAATGTTAAACTGCCAAGCCACTGACGCAGGGTAAGGCGTGAGGATCCTTTACCTGGGGAGTTGCAGGTTCCGTAACACTGCCCAACACCTGACTTTAAGACATCTCAACTGATGGGCCACAAGCGGGTTGCAGGTGTGCCTCCCTGAAGGCTGTGGAGCTGTTATCAGGGCAAGCAGGAAGCCATTTCAACATTCACAACAGTTACAATCACATTCCAATGCTGCTAAATGGTCTATTTCTAGGCTTCCTAGATTCTGTAAAATTTAAATGATCAATATATAATGTTTAAAAATGCAGTCACAATCTCCTCCTGGCCCCCAGGCCTCCATTCCACCTCAGGGCACTGTGCAGACACCCCGAAGGCCTGAGAGGAAGAAGCCAGGCCGCCTCCCACACGAAGGAAAGCTGGGGAGAAGCAGCCCACATTCAACCAGGACTGTTCGCTGTGAGGACCTGGTCATGGAGCTAAGACCAAATGAACCAATTTGTTTCTCGTTTCCTTTTTTAAAATCAAAGAACATGGCAAGAACAGGCATTTCAGAACACAAATTACTAACAGATAAAATAATGCTCAATCTCACAAAAATCTTTTTAAAAAACCCAACATGAAAGCCCATTTTTAGTCTATCACGTGGCAGCGATGGAAAGCAAGCAGCCGTGGTGCTGGCGGGAGAAGCTGAAAGAGGCGCTCCCTCAGGCCGCGGAGGGTGTGCCGTGGGCACTTTCTCTCCAGAAGGCTGACTTCTGAGGTGTGAAATGCACACACTTCACCAGCCAGCAGGCCCTGAAGCCCAGCCCACCCAGAACTAACAGCACAGCCGCAGGAGCAAGGATGACAAGGACAGCCTGGTTCTACAAGGACAGACGCAGCAGTGGAACCATCTCCACAGGCTGCCCGCCAGCTCCGCGAACCTCAGTGCGCCAGAAAACACGCTCATCTGAAGACGCTGCCATCTGTCAAAAAACTGTCACCACATACTAATGTAGCCGGAAAAGCACACTTCACTGCCGTCTGCTGGAAGACTGTGGTGACAGAATCCCAAGCTTGCACGGGTGCTCTGTGTGGCCAATGGGGAGGTGGCTAAGGAGGTCACAGGGCTCCTAGAGCTCTCCCCGCACCCTGGGACCCTCTCTAGGCACCCCTGAAATACAAACTGAGACAACTTCCCAACACCTCACTTCAATTTCAAGGACAGCAGAGGAAAGACAGTTATGCCCCTTCAAGTCTTGAAAATCACTCAGAACAAAGATGACAAATGCCAAGTAAAGATCCAAGTGATGCCTGGCTCGGGGCTTGGCTCCCAAAGAGCCTGGAACCCAACGCTACCCTGTGGGCAGCAGTGACGGCACCACAGCACCCGCAGCACGAGTGGGGCACCAAAGAGCCTGGAACCCAACACCCGCAGCACAAGTGGGGCAGGTGCTGACCTCCCCCACTGCCTGCTCGACTCTGGGATCCAGACCCACTGCTTGAGAGGTATCCCAGGAAGGAGCACATCCTGACAGGTGTCCACTGTCTGGCCTTCCCTGGTCCTTCCCCACAGGTAGCTGTGGCTGTCCACTGGGTAAGGAGAACAGTCAGGCACTCTTGAGGATGAATGGACACAGCTCTAAGTAGACACTGAAACCCGAAGACCCCAAACGCTATCATGGCTCCTCCACTTGTGGAGTTTGTGGGGTCAGGTCAGAAGTGAAGTCTGGGCCAGTTCTCTTCTGGTCATGTTATGGGAGGGTGGGAACGTTAGCAAAGCCTTAGAACAAAGCTGTAAGAGAACGCTGCTGTCCAGCCTGCACGCGTGTGGGTGCTGTCTGGGCCTCTCTTCTAAGCAGTGTGGAGGATGCATTTGCCCGATCAACACGCTGCACCTGAGGCCTTATTAATCTGCTCCAGCAACCACACCTCGACCCGCACAGCAGCTGCAGCCAGGACTGCCAGTGCCATAAGCCTGTGGCTGTCTAGAGTCATTTGCCAGAATCCATGCAGTTTCTTCAAGGGCTGGACTAGTGAGTTAGACGGGGATGCAGGAGACCACTGTCCCCGCTCCCCTGAGGCTTCCATGGTGGCACGAATCTCTTCCACCCACCCGAGCCCTGCACGTGTGATCTTGTTCTTGATTTGCTATCTTGGGGGCAGTTTCAGGTTTCCATCTGGCCTCGTTGTGATGACTTACTCGCAGGCCAAGGAACTCGTGTCGGGGTTACTCCAACTGCCAAGGGCCTCTGCTCCAGCCACACACTGAGGGCTGGGGAGACGGCCACTGGATGGCTGGGACCCTGTGGCCCACTGAGCGCCACCAGACACAGACGGCTCAGGAATGAAGGTCCGGGACACACGCCAGGTAAGCCACAGGGGCTTGCCGATGTGAGAGCTGAGGGTGTGAATAACAGGAAAGGGGAAGGGCAAGAGCCAGCAGAGAGACCACAGTGACAGGGGCTATAGGGTGTCCCACTAACCTCTGTCTTCCAGAGTTCCCCTGAGGAAGAGAACCATGGACGCCACAGGAAAGCCACTCCCAACTTATGTGGAGAAGTAGAGCTGAGGGGGCCAGGGTGGACTGTAGGGGCCACGGAAACGCACTCCTTGGTCTCCCACCACAGGAGTGGGAGTGACAGATGGCCCAGTGCAGTGTCTGCACCCATCCTCTGTCCCTGCCAGGGCGTACCTCTCACAGAGCTGTCAGCCAGGGGCCGATTGCGCAGGGTTGCTGAGGCAGGCCTGTTCCTGTGTGACACTGGAGGCCTCAGAGCTGCACCGAAGTCTGGACCGAGCCTTTGAGGGGCCAGGACTACACTGCATTTTGCTGGTATTCGCTGCCTCCTCCGGCTGCTCCCCCTTCCTTCTCCCAGCCGGTCCCTCGCCTGTGTAACCCCCCGTGGCATGCTGATGTTGCCCACGAAAAGCCCCCACTCTACAGGGACAGGAAGCTGCAGGACCGTACCAAATGCCATGGCAGAGCGAAGGGAATGCCAACCTCCACAAATGGCCACGACACCCAGGAAAGGCTCGGCAAGTGAACCACAGGTGCTATGGAGGCGGAACGAGGCAAGGGCAGCACTCGGAGTTTTCTTTTATTGAAAGTCCAAGTACGTAGCAGTTAGATACCCCAGATCCCCACCTCCATCCCAAAAGTGAGGCTCCACTCCTTCCTCACTCCTGCTGGCCCTTCATGCACAGAAACTGATGCCCAGCTTCCAGGTGCAGGGCCACAGGTGCAGCACGCAGTCCTGTGGGCACCAACAGGGAAGGCACAGTGAGGCCTGCCTGCAACAGGGCTGCCCGGAGAGTCTGCACTCTGCCACATGAGAAGCCCAGTCCCACCCCACAGCCCTGTACCCCAGCAGCCAGGCTTACATCCCTCCACCAAGGGACTGGAAGGGCCTTTTCCAGAGAAATTAAATGGTGCCCAGAGAAAAAACCTATAGAAGGCGACACCTGCAGCTGCCTGTGGCCCAAGAGACACCCATTCTTTAACAATCCACCCATTCACTCAGCACTTCCAGTCGGCTTCTAATACTTCAATCTTTTTTTTTTTTTTTGAGATGAAGTCACGTTCTTGTTGCTCAGGCTGGAGTGCAACGTTGTAATCTTGGCTCACTGCAACCTCTGCTTCCGGGGTTCAAGAAATTCTCCTGCCTCAGCCTCCCGAGTAGCTGGGATTACAGGCGCCTGCCACCATGCCCAGCTAAATTTTGTATTTTTAGTAGAGACGGGGTTTCACCATGTTGGCCAGGCTGATCTTGAACTCTTGACCTCAGGCGATCTGCCCATCTCAGT